TTTTTTTTTTTTTTTTTTTTTTTTTTTTTTTTTTTTTGTCTTTTTTCGTGTCCAGCAACGGATCGCAACCCTCAGTGTCGCGCCCGTACCGGACAGGGACCAGAAATGGGATCGCAACCCTCGGTGTTGCGCCCGCACCTCGCTCAGCCAGTGAGCGGGAACCGGTCTGTATGTGGGATCCGAACCCTCGGCAGGAGCGCGCCGCCACACTCCCAAGCGGCGCACTGTAGCAGTGCGCCACCGGGCTGGCCCGGTCGCTAGCATTTCTGAGTGGTTTCATTTCATCAAAGAATCAGGGGCATGATGGAGACTTAGGGAAGGCTAGAATGTGAGTACTAGAGTCCCATGTGATATAGTGTGAAGTGAAGGGGTAGAAGAAGGGGAATCAAGGAAACACTTCTTTTTATTTTTAAAATAGAGAAATTGGAACAAAGAGGGTCAGAGGAGGCAAGTTAAGGTGCTTAAGCCAGACGGTCTGGTCTGTGCTGTCCAGTGCAGCGACCATGACCGCTAGCCCCAGGTGCAAGAGAAAGGCAGTGTACAGAGCTCAGAAAGGGGAAGGGGAATGTGGGATGGATGCAGAAGTCCCCAGTGTATTGCCAAGTAGGGTAGAATTCTTCTAAGTGTATACCCAAGGTAAGGAATTTATTTTTTTGTAAAAAACAAAAACAAAACACAGGGTGCGCTAATGGAATCTTGCTCTTCTCGATCCTTCATGTTAAAGCCCATTGACAAAGGAGCGGATCCTACTATTGTAGACGCTGGGGAGATGCGAATGTGCACGTGGGGAAGGGTTGATCACTCCGAGCCAGCGTGGCAATAACAATAAAACTGGGGAGAGGTGTAAAAAATGACATTCCTGCAGTTTTATAGATTTGGAGAGAACTTTACTTAACAATGGCTCCCAGGACAATCACCTTCAATGTAAAGGCAGCTGGGGACAAAAATATTTCATGACACCAATATTAAAACAGTGACTACCAGTTTATTTGTTAACTCTCCTTCTTTCCATATCATTTACCTTACCTTCTATATAACAATGTGGGAAGCAGCTTAACAGACTGGGAAGAATGGAGGCTTTGGCCTCAAAGAATTTTGGGCTCAAATCTCCAGCTGTGACACTGGAGTGGGTCATTTAGCTTTTCTGAGCCTACTTCCTCACTGGCCAAGCAGGGATGATGGAGCTGTGGTTGAAAGTCAAGTGAGTTCAGAGTCCACACGCTGCCTGGCAGTGCAGGGCTCAGAAAGATCAGTGCTAGTTCTTTCTTCCTCTCAACTGGTTGCAACGCTGTGTGCCACCTGCCCAGATCTGCCACTTGGAACAGCTTGGGAGGAGGAATACAAATGGGATTGGCCCTGCCCCAAGACCTGTCACACCAGCATTTTTCAGCAATACCAACATGCAGTTTTATTCATGAATTTACATTCCAAGCTTGCTTTGTGTTAAGCTCCCTTAAAGCTAGATTATACTATTCAGTTTCCAACACTATCCAAGTAAGTTCTAGGCTTTATCATAACAGGGTGAACACAAAAGCAGAATGGAAAAACAGTTCCTATTTTTGATCCTCAGCCACTTGAGCCATTTTGACAGCAGCCTCTCTGATTTATACATTGATTTGTTCTATATTAAACCAGCCTGTGCCGCATTCCAGTTTATTTTCTGAAGC